CAAACACAAGTCTATCACTGGATGAAATCCAGGCAGAATCACAGAATGAACAACAATGCAATACAACCTTCTCTATATTGCTCATTTTTAGGTGCTTTATTTTTCAGCAATTATCTGTTCCAGATGAAAAGTGCAGCAATATTTTCAAAGTTAATGAAAGAAAAACATCACTTTTGATAACCTGCTGACTGCTAATGAGCTGTAAAGATAGCATTATGCACCAGACAATAATCCTGTTCATACTAATGGGGAAAAAATAAATACTAATATCCACGGGCAAGTGTGTTGGAGTAGGTACTATGACAATTACTGTGAACGAGGATCATATTTTAATCTCATTAGAGCACACTATAATGCATCAAATCAACAATGCTGTCTTCAGTAAAATTCATAATGATCTTAATTTGGTTGTCCCTAAGACGATTGGTTTTATATTAAAAATAAGCATCTTAATTTTCTATGTTTAATCTATAATGATACACTATGATGATGTTTTATATTCACAAACTTTCTTTTTATAATTTGTTCCCCTTGTAATTGTAATGAACACACTGTACCGCTTTAAGCAATCTGACAAACTCCGAGAACAAGCCAGACCTTTGCCACCTTTTTAAGCCTGCAGTAATTATTAACACATTTTTGTTACCAGGCTTCTCCTTCATTTGCATTAAAGCAATCTAATAAATGTGAAAACTAAACTCTCCCAGCTGAAAACATGAAGATAACCAAAAAAAAAAAAAAAAAAAATCAAGCATTTATTGGGATAACCTCTAATCTCATTACCTCTGTGATTACAGGAAAAAAAAAAACTGTCTTATTCCCCAACTGCCTCCAAAATTAAGCTCCTAATAAGAAAGCCCAGTGTGAGGTAGAGGGAGATGCAAGGGGTAGATCAGCAGCAGCACCAGCCTTCGTATAAATCCACTGATGCCCCTGTGCTTAGACAGGCTGTTGGTCCACTCCTAAATCATATGGGCTGGGCTGTCATGGCCAAAGACCTTGTCTTCTTGCAGATCAATAGTGATAAGGGAAAATACATTTTTGAGCTGGAAATACTGAAGACAAAAGAGACAACAGATTTCAGAAAGCTCAGGAGGAATGTTAAAAGAATAAAAAGAAATGTTATGTGTCAATTTGGAAATTGATAGTCTCCCTGCATTAGCTTATCATTTAGGCAATGCAGTGTGGCCATGCAGTCGAGTGCTGTGAGTGTCTGTATATGTATGTGTGTTTTTTTGCAGAAGCCTTACTTTGATCTGTCATATAAGATAACATGGTGATATGACAGCAATATTTATTAAAGCAAACTTTCAAGTTTTGCTCCAAAAGCTCAAGTGACAGAATCACAGACGTGTAAAGGAAACTTGTTAAGCTGCTTTTCTCATTACCATTAGGATGTGCATGGCAGATATTTTATGCCATGTTTGTGGGTTGGGTCTGTGGATAGACTAAGATGTCTCAGCGCCTAATGACAGAACACTCCCATTAGCTTGTACTGTAGGTGACTGTGTGTTCTGTGCTAATGAGCAAATGTAGCACGCTAACACTCTAAGCTGAAATCTGAACAATAAATAATTGGGATAAGTGTCTTTTTGCACACGCGTGTGCCATTACAAATCAATAGCCACACTTTTATTGCATCACTAATTAAAGATGTTTTCTTCTCTCCTTGGGTTGCTCGGGAGTTCAACACAATTTCCCTCAATCAGGCAATCAATCACTATTAGATCTGTGTGGCACACCAGCATGCAGCAGACAGATGTGGCCTCCAGCAAAAAACTGCAATCCATAAATTGGGGCAGACACACACTTGTAAAAGCCCCGTGACTCCGTAGACATTGCCAGAGCTGCTTGCAAAGCAGCATTTTGCCTTTATTTGTCGACAAAGGGGGTGGCACCAAGCTGCTTTACTGACATGTCTTTTCACAAAAAATTACAGAGAGAAAATGCTCAGCAGAAATTTTCGTGCATGTCTCCGTTGCTGTTTGTCACTTTGCAAATAATAAAATATAATCAGATCCTTTCAAGGTTACAAAACTTCAGCCAAGTAACCGTGCAATATTTTCGTCAACATGCCACGCACTATGTGGAGGATGCGAAGCGGAAACTTGCTAAAAATCATTGTAAAAAGCAGGAAAAAAACAGGCATATATCTGTGTACATGCTATACAGAGTTGCAGCTACACCACGTCTCTTTTTGGCTCTATTGTTCAAATGGAATAAAAGACTCAATGAGCTGATTTGGAATGAGAGGAGAATAATCAGAGCAATACGACGGTCCTTAGAGATCCTTTATTGAATGCATAACAATGAAGCTTGATTGAAATTGATAATGGCGTTGAGGTGCTCCTTTCCGCTCACTAATTTGTTCCAAAGCAACCTTTGACATGCATAGGACAATGACAGTGACAATGTAATTAGCCAATTGTTGAAGGAGGTCAAAATATGTGTGTTTTTACCCAAAGGGAATATATTTCAATGCTAAATACTACTATTTGCAAGATACAAAGCTGGGCCCACAAGTGTCATTGAATATTATGATATACAGTAAATTTGGCTTTCGCAAGTAAATGCCTAAGCTCCGCATTACACTATGCGCGAGCAGAGGGTGAACTGTGTCATATTCCTGTATCAACACAAAGTCAGCATGAAGAAGTGCCGCGGATGTGAAAGTGCTGCTGACCTCGTCCATTTTTCTTCCAGTGCGGTCAAGGCCACCGTGCTGCAATACACCACACAACATCCAATTGTGCAGACTAAAAGGTGTGGAATCGAGGGCTCCTCCGGGCCACCGGCCCCCAGACACCTGTGCTTATGAGAGTCAACAGCAGTGTCAGCATCACCACCAACATGCATCATATAGCTGCCTCACACACGCTTGCAAAACAAAGTTATCTGTCTGCACACAGAGTCGCTCAGGCCGGAGAATATATTATCCACGGACTGCAAAGTGACCTTGATGGCAAAAATGTTCTCCTCTACATTTTGAAGCCACGGTAAAACATGTGCTGCACGAAGACTTCTTGGGGGTCTCAGATTGGTATTATGCATCATGCAATGTGATATTGTTTGATTGAATGCACCAAGTCCAAATTGGATTCCCACTAACGCCTCCTCCCGTCCCTGCCTAGACAAGTACTGATGAAAGATAACCGCCTCTGCATTAATCAAAGAGATGGAGCATTTTGATCCCACTCTCAATTAGATTACATAAATGTAACAATTTGTACAAAATGTGATATCAATTATCAGCAGGTCATTCGGTTTGATCTCTTGCCCTATTCTGTCACAGCAAAGAAAGGAAGGGCACGTGAAATGTGGCTGCCTTTGGTAAATAACTGACTTTCCTTAATCGACGAAAGAAAGGGAAACGTGACCACAACAGTTTATCTGTGACAGGTGTGTGTTATATTCATTTTTGATGTGCATTCTTCTTCTTCTTCTGTTTACATTAATGAACGGTTTAATTATTACTTTTAATCATCAGGCGTGTTAATTGATAACAGAAGAGTCAGAGGTGACTTAAGTCCCATTTCTGCAAGAAGGAAGCGCTTAAAAAAACTGAAGAAGCTTCTCGGATGAGAGGTGACGCTTTTCTTTGCAAGCTTTGACTACGATGACCTGGATGACTGAGAACCTTCACAGACACACTTAAAAAAACAAAACTACACATCGTTTGCTTCTCGTATGTGTGTATGTGTGTTGCGTGTAAGAGGAATTTAATGGTGCTTGCTGTTGATTTAGGATTACAACAGACTCTCAGGAGTGGATGGTTTGATTTGTAGGAGTGGAGGCAGCATCACACGCCTACTTGTCTGTACCTGAAACCGCCAATAACTTGGAAAACAATAGATTGCCCAGGAGGGGGTGAACCGAAAGTCAGCCTTTGTTTATTATTTGCAGATGGAATAAGTATTTTTCCCTCTCCCCCATCTACAGAAATAAAATATCTCAGATGCGATCTCTTTCGTGGAGCTATCTCATGATAGTTAATTAGGTGTCAGCAGCACAACCCAGGTGACTTAACCTTCATCAGGCTGTATCACATGAGGAGGCAATTTAAGAGAATTATTCATTGTGTGTTTGAGTGGAACATGAAAAAAATATCTTTGCTTGCAAATTCTAAGCTGAGGAAAGATGAATAGACTGCAGAATTCCAAATTCCAGAACGAGTGAGCCATTTATGAAACAATGAGCTTGTTAGCCTGAGATGGGGTGCTCAGTGTATATGTGTATATGCATGTGCACATGTGTTTGTGTGTGTGTTAGAGAGAGAGAGAGAGAGAGAGAGAGAGAGAGAGAGAGATCAATAAAGGATAACCAAAGCAGATTCACACCCTAATCACCGATAAATGATAATCCTTAGAATGTAACATGCAGCAAACAATATTTATCCCAGGGCTGGTGTGATCTGAATGTCACACCTAATGATCGGTAAAATCTGGGCTGTTTTTCATGCCAGCTGACAGACAGCTAACTGGTTTACTGATGCCCATGACATTCAAAAAGCATTTTCTTTCTCAGAGGAGTCTGGAGCCAATGACCAAAGAGTTTGGCTGGGAAACTATAAGGAAATACCAAAATGTTCCACTAATGTGTGGCAATCATCGCTAAATAACTGTGTGAGTCTTTGGTTTGATACACTACTAAAACTTTTTAATACCTATGTATATGAAAACCATATACTGCGTTTGGAATCAGGACACTAATGTCCAATTAGCAGTTTTGTAATCGTGTATCTTTTCAGGCTGGAAATATAAACCTATAGTTGTTTCTTCTACGTTTGAAAGCATACTTTCATTTGATGCATACTTTAGCTATAAGACAGACAACAAGAACAACAGCAATAAAAATGCCATGTCAATAGTCATTAGACGAGATAGCTAAAGAGAACCCGCTCCTTTCCAATAGTGAAATTGGCTGTGTCACCGGCAGGGAGAGACAGTGAGATGGGCGGTTTATAGACTAGTGGCCGGGGCTTTTTTTTTTTTTTTCGTTTTCGTGTCGGACTGGATGGGAGGGCGCAGCAGCCTCAGTACCAGGCAGTGCTCTTCCCTCCGTCAGCTACGGACTGGATAGATAGAGACAGAGGAGGAGGCTGCTACATGCTGCCGCCGCTCCTGACGCTGCTCCTGCCTTTGTCGTAGAAGGATCTCTCTCTTTTTTTCTCCATCGAGGGCTGTACTTGAGTCAGCGGGATATTCTTTTTTTTTTTTTAATTTTTAAATTTCTTTTTTTCTCTCCCTTTCTTTTCACGGATTCGGAGGGAATTAAGCATTCACGGGCGTCCAAATGTGTTCCTTACACGAGGGCAGCGGTCTGCTTCTGCTGCTGGTCTTGGCAGGACTGCAGGTAATGTAACGTGTAAAGCGGCTTCCAGCAGGAGTTACACCGGACAGTTTCGCCGCTTGTTTTCTTTCGTAGCGACGCTGTTAATGTTGAGTTTGGGGAACCCGGGCACGGTGCTTAGACCCTCCAGCGGCCACTTTACATTGCGTGCAGTTTGATAAAAACAGTACACAAAAATCCGCTGTAAAGTGGCTTTGACTTAAATGGCTTCTTTCTTTCTTTTCTTCTTTTTCAAGAGATGCTGCGTGCGCATTTTAGCCAAAAAACAAAAAAAATAATCATTTGGATTATTTGCAATCATTTTGCAGGCTAATGTGTTCTCAGTTGGGCGATACAGGCCCACGTTAACCTAGTTATGACTTGGTTATATTTAGTTTGGTTTAATATTTATGTAGATTGCTGCAGCGTGTCCCTGTCCCCCCGGGCGAGTTAATTGCATCTGTGGTAGAAAAGAAAAGTCTTTAAGATGAACAATGAGAAGTAGCCGACTACATGTTATTGTGGTAATTTCACCTCAGTGATGGGATAATGATTGTTGTCCAGCCTTAAGGTTGGAACCCCTCTGTGTAATGGGGTGACTTGTGGAAATGTATTTATTTTCATTAGTCAGACACTTTGAGCAACAGGGGAAAAAGCAATCAGGCAGTTAAATGAAAGCTTTTTGGGATCTGAAAAAACTGCAACTGTGATGTATGTTAACATTTGTATCTAGAAATATACATCCCTTATATACCTCCCTTATTCTAACGTGCCAGACTTCCAGCTCTGCTCCTCCTCCTGCTCCCCCAACCCCTCCTCTCTGCCAGCATTTTCCATTTAAATTCCTCTGATTAAGAATGGCAAGTGGCACGGATACTCACAATGCTCTTTTTCAGCGGGGCTCCTCTCGTCTTACATTCTTTTGAGAGTGCACGCAAAGAAACAGGGCCAGGCCTCCCTTCCTAAGAGCTGTTAGTTGGCTACATTTGGGCATGCCTGGAGACCAGAGCATTTTTTCTTAATAAGTATACCCTGCGTGTGTTCTTCACAGTCGCTGTTTTCTTTGTTTGGCGCAAAACTCACTCTTTATGGAAACACAAGTTTCATAAGCTTTGTTTTCTTTCTTTACAACAGCCACATTACTCTCTAAATATCTTGTCCCCCCAACTACAGCTTTCTTCTTGAAATTGGGGGGGGGGGATATAAAAAGGAACATATTGATCAGTCACAACCTCGCAGAGTCTTTAGAAAACGCTGTGGTTTGAGGGTGTTTATTCAGACATTCACACGTAAATGTTTATTCCCTCAACAGTGGATTGTTAGCATTTACTTTTTATTCCCTTGTTCCTGTACTTCAAAGTGAAGAGTGTTTGTCTAGAGTAGTGTGTTGATCAGAGGGGCTGGCCAAGAGTGTTGGCTATTACCCTGTGCCTGGGCCCCTACACAGAGACAAATGGAGCTTGTTCTTGCCTAGCCATGCTTTTTGGCTAATGCTTAACCCTTTTGGCCTCATTATCCTAATTGCGGTCCCTGCTATAAAAACAACAGATGCTTTTGTACAACTGTAGGGACTTCAGAACGTGACCAAGGGGTTTCGGAGGCAACAGGAGTGCATTTCTGAAGGTTGATTTATGACATTGTTGCCCCTTTCCCACCCCCACCCCACTATTACAGATTGCAGCAGAGGGCAGGGGTGCCCCACCATGCAGGCCAGGCTTCTCTGAAGATGTATACAAGGTTGTGGTGCCAGATATCACCGAGAAAGGACAGCCCCTTTTTAACGGTAAGTAGTGAAACATTCCTTGCCCTGTTATGTCTCTCCTTGAGGGTGCGAGTGTGTGCATGCATGCATATCAGTTGAGCGTGCTCACCTACCTCCATGTGGTACAATTCAGGGAGGATCAGAACAAGCCTGACAGATTTAAACAATTAGCTTTAGTGCTGTTGTGTGGTATTGCAAGTCATGTAGTTTGCCTTGTAAACCAGCTTAAATGTGCCTCAGCTTTTTATGGCTCTTTTCTGCTTTGCTTGCATGGTGGTTTTTTTTCTCATCTCAGAGCAAGTTGAAAACCAGGCACATTGTTAGCTGACTGCTGGGCAAACACTGTGGCTACATTAGTATTATTATTATTTTTAGTTTACCTTTTTAGCAACTAATATCTGGTGGATCAAAACTTGTTGAATCCAGTGAAGATGTGACTCCTGTTGCAAAGCGTTGAAACCCAATTACTCACACATTCGAACACTTACACAACGTTAATCAAGCAAATAGTTTAGTTATTAAACATTCCCTGCCTTCCAATGAAGGGATGAATCATTTTCATTATCTTATGCCATTGCATTACAATGTGTTGTCATAATTTATCATCACTTCTGTACAGATTTCAATCAAACTCGTTAAACATTTTGCCTGTTAGTTCAAACACTCAAAAGTTCCTGCTACAATGGTAGTGTTCTCAACTACAGGGTGACACTGCTAAGCCCACTCAATAGCAGTAATAACAGCAATTTAAATATCCTGGGGAATGTTTGTTACAGCAGTAGTCCTTCTTTGCTGAACACAAAAGTGGGTTTTATGTTTTTTCCAGCATATAAACTGGTGCAAACAAGAAAGTAGCAGTTCATTACGTTGCAGCAGGCATGACCAATACTGCTTCTTTGGAGTTTAATATTGGTGAAATGAGGATGCAGCTACTGTGAAATGGTACGCAGGTCTGGAGACGGTAATAAAAGTGGAATATATCACCGTTGTGCCATCAGAAGGGTTAGAGCCTTGAGGTCATTTGGACTAGTAAACATTCTCGATTTCACAGCGCGTACCTAAAACTCGCACGCTGCCGTTGGTGTGAGTCTGTGGGGTGGAGGTGGCGGGGTAGCAGTGCCGAGGGAAGAAAGAAAGGAGCGAGGGAAGAGAGTGCTCCGATGGGTGGGTGCAGCTTTCACTGGGCTTTACCTTGTGCACAAGTTCCTGTTTGATCCAGCAGGTGATGGATTTCCCTCCGTCGGCTCGTGGATGAGCCGTGACTGGGGGTAATCAGGTTCTCTTTTGTTTGCCCCCACACTACCCCCCTTACCTCCTCTATTCTCTGCCCTCCCCTCCCCCAGACACATTGCTGCTCTGTGGAGATTTCCTTGACAGAGTGGGGCACTCCTGTGTCATTGTAATGCAGCAGAGCTCAGCAGCGTGGGATGATGTTAATGAAACTGCATTCTCTAATGAAAATCTCCTGTGGCATGTTTTGAAAGACAAAGCCCCCACAGTGTGAAGAGTATTCCCAAAGTTTTACAACGTTGCTTTCACCATGCTGGTGTAGAATATTGCTTTTCACTAGCAAGCTTTTATTTTTTTAACTAATGCTTTTTTAGCCACGCTGAGCAGGCTGACGCTTTATGTTTCCTCGCATTTCATTAACGTCGTCAATTGTGAGCCTGGAGGTTTTAAATAACGAATCGGAAAGACAATGGCTGAATTGTGGAGTAGCTGATTAACCAATGAAGGTTCATTTCAGTATGCAAAGTTTTCTCTTTAAGTTGTTGGTGAAGGGTCACCAGATGTCTGATGGTTTGATTAGTTTATTTGAAAGAGGATCTTCTGGAGTGGCCCATGTAATACTATCAGTGCATTGCGTCTGGTGTCAGTAACATGAGTCCTTTGATCATATGATTTTGCATTTGACCCCAGATGCATTAGACACCTCGGAGGTGAGTCGTCTGACATCTTTGTCCCATCTAATTGCAGCGTCGTCTTTGCCATTGAATGACAATACACATCCCGAGGCCTGTAAGACCTGGAAATGGTGGCGGCTCACATGGAAACTGCTGACATTGTATGCGCTAATTTAAAGACATCCTGTGGATTTAATGATAGGAACTGTGGCCAGCCAGTTAACAATGTGTATTTAGTAGTAAGCGTTAATCAGGTTTGTGTAAAGCAGACCTTAACTGTTTGCTAACCGCGTGAAAGCCCATTGATTTTCATTAGATTGGTAACAATTAATTGCATCAAAGTAACATGGCGGAGCAACACACAGAAAAGTCAGGGAGTACAACTATTCTTTTATGAGGATTCCTCTACAATGAGCCATTCAAGGGAGGCTGTGCTCATTGTTTGTAGATGCCAAACCACATCAGGCATGGGCAGTTGGGCGCTATGTCTCCACTGGGCTGGATATGACCTTGCTTTTAGGCCGGAATATTTGCTTTGGCCTGATACTACCGAAGAGAAATGACCAAACATAGTTGTTTATTATCAGACCATCACACATGTGAAGGCAGTGCTTCCCCCTTATCTAGTTTAGTTGTTTGACAAAGTGACTTTACTAAATTGCATTTAATTTCAGGTAGGCTGCGGCTGCGGGTGGTTTGCTCCTGGGTTTCTAATGGAATCCTTGCGGCTTTGGAGAGCTGACACACATTGTGCCGTTTTTTTCTAGATGAAGCCTTTAAAGCAGGGTTGCAAAGCGAGTTTGTTGAAGCATTATTCAGCAGAGGTTTCCCTCCCTAAAAACTGGGTTAATGAAAAGCCCAAAAGCTTAATTGAGTTTAATACACTCTCTTATGCTGCTGTTCTGCTATCCCCACCCCCTCCCAACCTTCTATGCTGCTTTCATTTTTCTTTCCTCCACCCCTGAGCCCCGAGTTTCACTTATTTTCTTGACAATTATGGGAGCTCTGGTGATGAAAAAGAAGAATGTTTATAGTCAGCTTTGGCCTTGGTTCAAGTGCTTTAAATGTGCTGGTGTCAAGAGGGCCCAGTTGGCTGGCTGGCTCCACGCATGACTTGGAGGATGGATTTACAGTTGACCGGTTTAATAAAGGGATTGAAAAAAGCAGCATCAATATCAGCGAGTAGAATACATCAGGAAAATGTTTCCAGGCTAAATATATCTCAGAATTTGTAGTAAATGTATTATTTTGACTAAATGCACCTCTTTGCTATGTTTGCAAACCTTTTAGACAAACCGATTTTACTCTTTTGGCAGAAGAACAAATCTGTTTGGAAATTCTAAAATTCTGAACCAGATAAAACCAGTATGTTGTTTTTCTGTCTCTCTGCTCTGTGTTAACTTTCTAATACAGCCGGGGCCACTCATATGTGTTCAAGGGGCCCCAGTGTTTGGTGAGACATGACCCTGCTCGACCTGCTCTGTAAACTGGACCTAGTGCTCAGCAACACACTCAACCTTTCTGCCTAGCCTCAAATTGGGAATGAGGTTGTCGGGGGTTTCCTGATGAAGTATAGATAAATGGAATACCAGCCAAAAAGGTCCTGACCCATCACCGGGGGAGGCCGCAAATGCATAGCACTTCTACCTTATGTTATTCTGACCCGCAGAGATGATCATTCATCACTTAGAGACACAAACGCAAATTTAAAACCTAGGGTTTTTGAGACGTATGCAGGTTTCTAAGCATTTGCCCTCCAACAGCATGATGGACAGTAGGTAACTATTATGGTTTTTGTTGAGTGGACCGAGAGTTGTATGGATCTGCCTTAGGAAAAATCTATAGAGCTCTTTTGTTTGTTGAAATATTTACTGATAACTCCGAAAAACAGGAGAAACAGGATATTTACTGAGCTGTTGAGATCTCTGTTTTTGGGATGTGTGAGATGGATATATTTTTTGAAACTCTGTGGCAGCACTTGGCATTTTAATCTCAAAAAATGACTTTATTGATATTCAAATTCATTTTCGAGACGGGAGCCATAGGCACAGAGTAACTACCATGCAGTATGGAAAAATTAGGAGCACTACGAGGAGACGCTCGTCCTTTATATTATATTTTCTTTGTATTTCATGTATATTCTTTGTCGCTGCGGAACAACGGGACCATGGCCATCTTTCTCTTTTTACCTCCCTTCATTTTTTTAAGCTAAGGCAGCACTTTCACTATAACTTTGTTCAAAAGAGCAGTCCGCTGCCCCTGCCTCCCTCTTTTTTTTTTTTTCCCTCAAAGTGAATCAATGAATTCAGGGTCTTTGTTTGCTGAGATCAATATGTTGTAATGAAGGCTGCGCTCCAATTCCCAGCTAAAGAATCACTGTCGGGTTCGGGTTGAATTTGTTTTATTCTTTATTGTTATCAGCCTGCATACATTTGCTTTCATCTGACTTCACTCTACCTTTTCTTTCCTGGGAGCAGCGTGGCCTAGATAACCACCACATATTGTGACGACAGATTGAATCTTGGCAGCAAATGGTTTTGGAGAGTAACCTCTTGTAAGTTGCCGGCAATATAACAAGGAAACAGAGTGACTGGAGTGCCATTGGTAATAACATCGCAGTCATTTGTCAGAACATTATAGCTCCATTGCAATCCTAAGGCTATACTGTAACAGTGAAATACTAGTAATGTTAGCGTATGAAAGCAAATACACCTATTTGTAGCTAAATTGTGTGCGCTTTCTGAGCCTGCTGTGCGGCATGATTTTATAGGATGCATTTTATTGGTGTCTGAACTTAGGTGAAGTTTTCTCCGAATCAAAGCTAGTATCAAATTAATGCTCCATATTTGGAGGCAAATGAGCAGACACTGGCTTGAAGCCTCTTATCGCCTCAGTTCATGTCCCTCTTATCAGTTACAGGCCCTGCCCTCTACAATGGGCACCTAACAGCATACCACTGACACTTGGAAGTAGTTAAGTTGCCCTTCTGTCATGCCTGTGTGTGTGCGTAGGAAGTTCGACCTTGGCATATAATTAGCTTGTTCTGCCCAGAGAGGTCTCGGTGGAGGTGGAGGTGACGAAGTATAATGGTGACTGAAGTTTCTATAACCAGCTAGG